AAATCGGCTTCTGCATAGCAGAACCAGGACTCGATATTGTCGGGCCAAAATGGCGTTAACTGAATCGAAATAGGGGGAATAGACTTTAACTTAAGAACCTTAGGAGAGTGTTCCGTCATAGTAATATAGATATCGAAAAATGTCTAATTAAAATATATCCGAGAAAAAAAAAGGTATATCACAATATATAAAATTCAAATAAAGAATAACAATAAATAATAATATTCCAAAATGGAACAGACTCACAGTATATTGACTTGGTGTACCAGATCACGTCGGGTTCACCAATGATGATGCAACGGATATTCTAGTTTTACAACTAGATACCAGTAGCACCTCCTATATTTGATCGTTCCCAGTCAGATAGAAAATCAGAAGTCAAACGAGAAGAGGCAGGAAAGATATATTTGATTCGTTACCAATATATCGAGGACCTTTTCTATGAGCTGGCTAATGAAACGTAGGAGCTGTGTCCCACGCAGTATTGAAACGTGATCTGGTGCGGATGCATGACCGAAAGCCTTCAACTAAACAAGTCCACTTAAACAACGTGGTCAGCATCCAATGTCGAACACTTAATGAGCTATTGATTTTGGGGAATTATTTACAGCTACAATTCATTCCATATTTTTGACTAAAGATGATGCTATTTGATTATTTAGAAAGAGCCCTCACATATTTGCTTACATACTGTTTCGTCATCAAAATTATGGTACGATGGAACCATCTACAGAGGGCATTATTAACAGAACCTTCTAAAAAGTTTCTAAAAACAACAACAAACTTGCAAAGTCTTTTCCCAATTTCTTCTTCATCTGGAAGTCGGTTTGTCTTCTCCCATAGTAGGTTGCTGTTGATGGTATCCAACCAACGGACATTCATTATCTTACGTAGACGATTGTTCATAAATACTTGTACTGCTTTGATGATGGTTGTGGTAGTTTTGGAAGTTTCAGCTGCGTACAGTAGAACTGTTCTGACTTTTGTATTGAAGATTTCGACCTTGATGTTGGTTGATAGTTGTTTCGAATTGTATATGTTTTTCAACTGCATGAATGCTGCCCTTGCTTTGGTAATCCTCGCATTTACGTCTGCATCCGATCCGCCACGTTCATCGATTATGCTAGCCACATACTTGAAAGTTTCTAACTCTCCAAGAGTTTCGTCACCAAATGTGATGGAGTTGGCGTTCTCTATGTTGTATACGAGGAACTTGCATTTTCCCTTGTGTATGTTGAGGCCTACTGATTCAGAATCTGATGCTACACCGGTTGTGTCCATCTGCACTTGTTCGTTTGTATGAAATAGAATGGCTAGGTCATCTGTGAAGTCCGAATCGTCTAGCTGCATCAAACCACTCCATTGCATACCTTGACTCCCCTCAGATGTCGAATGCTTCATGATTCAGTCAACCACCAGAAGAAGGAGAAAGGGAGAGGGTAAGCATCCTTGTCTGACTTCAGTCCTTTCTAGAAATGCACCTACCAGCTGTCCTCCACTTTGCACTGTAGTCCATCCTATGTGTTCTGGATAGTGTTGACAATCTTCTCAGCAACTCCGTAATGTCGAAGTTTCCGTAATGTTCTTCTATCCACTCTGTCAAATGCTTCCTGATAGTCAAGGAATTTGATATATAGTGACGAGTTCCGTTTATTTGATAGGTCAACGATGACTCGTGGTGTTGTGATTTGCTCTGTGCAAGACCGATACTTACGGAATCCAGTCTGTTGATCCCGAAGTTGAGCGTCTACTAAGTCTTTCATCCGGTTCAACAACATTGTTGAAAACTTCTCCTGGTACTGACAGTAGTGTGATGCTCATATCTCGTTTCTTTGGTACTTTGGTGAGGTATCTTTCGTTCCAGTCTATCGGTGGCACTTGTTCTTCATCTTGAATCGTCTTGAATAATAGGTAAAGCATGTTTGCAGTTACTTGTATGTCTGACTCCAGTACTTTGGCTGGTATATTGTCAGGTCCTACTGCTTTCACACACTTGATTTGTCTGATAGCCATCCTGATATCTTCAATCGTTGGTGGAGTGTCATTGATGGGAAGGTTTGTATGTGCTGCATCGATATCTAGTAAATTCAGTGGAGCTGATCCACTCGAGAGTTCCTGTTCTGTTGTTTTTGAATTTCAGTGATTGTCTTACCTTCTTTGTAATTGACTGATCTCTCAGGTTTACTATTTTTCCTGTCAGTTTCTTCATCGTATCATGTAGTTGTTCCATATTTCTCTCTCCTGCAGCTTTTCAACTATCGTCGCTAGCTCTTGCACTTACTTCTGCTTGTCAACTCTAATGCTCCTCTTCCCTTGCTTGTTTGCTTCAGTGCATTCAGCTTGTAAGTTGACTTTTCATGTTCTTGTTCGGCCGTTGTTAATTGATGTCTTCTTGTTCTTTCTTTCTTGAGTCATGTCTAGGGTTTCGATAGAAATCCACTCCTTATGATGTTTGTTGCGGCCCAGAACCTCCTGACATATTGAAGTTAGTGCTATTTGGTCCCTTTCCAGTTGCCCACCATAGTAGTTTCTTCTTCTTTCAGTAGATCCTGAAAGGCTTGGAACCTGTTGTTGAGAGTTATCTTGAATTGTTTGGATTTGTTGGTATTTGAAAAGAAGGCTACCGTTAGGTCCAATTATGAGTTTTTGCCCGTTCCAACTATTGAAGTACTGGCCGTCGATATTCGCAAATCACGAACCCAAGTAGGCAAGAGAACCGAAACTCCAAATTAGACACCAAGTTTATTCGCGATTCACAAATAATCAACCGAAGTCGTTCTAACAACAATAATTATAACAATTACAAAACAAACCTTCAATTTTGTAGGTTCCCGGAGCAAAAACTCCCAAATACCAAACCAATGACAAAAGAAACAAAAATGTCCGAAAAGAATGACATAAACAAAAAAGTCCAAAGGTTAAGTTAAACAAACACATCCAAAAACATAGTGAAATTGATGTACAGTAAAAAGGTTTTAATCAGCCAAATGTCTTCAGTTCTCCCGTAACAGCTACATTGAACCTTTGTAATGCTGTTTTTCTTTTATTCCAGTGTTTCTTTAGCTGCAGTTTCATCTTAGCATTCAGGAGGTAAATAGAGATCGGAAGGTATATCAGCGCCTCTTCTTGTTCTCCTGTCTTCCATCGACCTTCTGAATTTTCTATTGATGCAAGTGTGGTTGATCTCGTTCTCTGTAGCTTGGTCAGCTGAAACGTGTATAGCTTCATGTATGGGTCTGTGCTGGAATATGGTGCAACATATAACCATTTTGTTGAAGGCATATAAAGTTACAAGTCTGTTACCATTCCCGTATTTTTCTCCTAGTTCATGTCGTCCTATGACATCTTCATACCCTATGTTGTCCTTTCCAATTTTTTCATTTAGGTCTTCCATCAAGATTGTCAAGTTCTTTCATGGGCACTTTACTATGATTAATTACAACCTCTTTATCGTCATCATTGACATTATTGGTGGGTGTATAACATTGTTCATTGTAATTCCCTCTTTCTATATTTTGAATGTGACTTTGATGATCCTGATTCCATGAGATTCTCATCAAATAAGTGCCTTACGTGATTCTTTGCACAGCATCAGAGTAACTTCCTGAGTGCGTGGAGCATTTTCTTTCTCATGACCAGATTCAAAAGCATCTCTCCCGAATCTATCCTTTGATGTCCAGCTTGAGTCCAATGGGTTTCGCTGATTTCAAGAACCATCAAGTTTTGTCTCCTCATTTCCTCAGCCATTTGATTGGTCCTTACGGCCTTTCATATTATCCGGACGTTCCATCTACGTATGTTAATTGTTGCTCTGAATGTTAGACGGCCATAGGTTTCGCGAATTCCGAAGAAACACGGCTTTCATCATGAGGTGTCATAATTCTTCCATCAACTCAGAGAGGAGAGTTTAAATGGCTCAAACTGTTTGTTCTGGTTAGCGTTTTTTAGCGGGGTTGTTTTCTACGGGGTGAGGTTGTCGATCTCACGCTCAACCCAACTTCCTTCACCTTGGCTTGGGACCTGCAGCAATCGTAATAGGGCTGCAAGCGGAGTTAGTATTTTATACTATTAACTGGAGATATTTAGACATATAGACTGAAGAGAAAACAACAGAATACAATAAAATCATCGTATTCTGCAAATATAGTCACTTCTCCCTCGTTGGAATTTTCGAATGACACCAAATGTATGAACTAATTTATGTTCATCGAAACACAAACTACATATGACACAAAAGTGAACTACATTTCTTGATGGATTTCGTAAAGTTTTTTTTATTGTTTTTTCTTTGAACAAGATTTAGTTATGTACATAACGTTTTAAAGTTTAGTGATTGTCTGAACTACCAATAGTCTTCGGTAGTTCTCATTATATTCATCATATTCATACACTTTCCATCAATGTGGATTGAGACTTTTGACTAGTTAAGTGAACTGCCTTACACTGAAATAAATATCAGGGAATGTCATGGTTTTCCTTCAGTAATAGTTCAGATAAAAAGGGATAAAAACCACACATCTGTTTAACAGCTTTTATGTGATCGGAATATTAAATAAGCTGAAGTTACTAGTAACGTTTTCAATGTCCATTTATTGAGTATTATATATTGATGCATAAGTTTCATAGAAGATTTCATTTCAAGCTTATGAAGTTATTCAGAGAAAAACATAAATGTAGTGAAAGTTGAGGTTTCAAACGAAATCCCTACTAGGTATTACGCTCTTATAACTAAAACTTACCCACTAGAATTACAAGAAACGACACATTTAATATATTGTGTATAAATTCGGCCATTAAATATAAAACAATAAATATATTCATGGAAAAACTACTTATCTATACACATGTTTATCCAATCACATTGAAGATAAATATCTATAACCGTGTAAATACGCATAATTTTATTTAATTCTTTTTTGATTGGTTAATAAAACGCATTATGTAGAAAATGTTTAGTATATGAAAAAAATTGATGACGATAATACAAGTTAATGAGGAGGCGATTAAACTTGAGAAAGAAATCTGTTTCAAATCTCCTCAAACAAACAAATCAACACTCTAAAATAATCATGATGCATTAATCATATATGTATGCGAAACAGTATTGCATTTATGTGGTGAACTTAGTCTTACTACTCAGAGTATTTAGTTTTAAACTACATAATAAAGAGATTAATTAATTATTTACATATAATAACGATTTGCTTATGTTCATTTATTGTCACTAATACAACTCAATACAATGGATCATGCTTTTTCAATAGCTTCACTTTTAGATGGTAATGAAACAAAATTATTGAGTCATTCAAACTATACTACTAATAATAATGACCATACCTATGACGATGTTCAAAGTACAGTAGATAATAATTCAAATTGCATTATGCATAGTGAAAATAATAATACCCCTAATTTATTTTTACAAAATAATGATTCTTTTCAGATAAATTCATTGTGTACAACAATGATTTCTAAAGTGAATTTACCATTTAATATAACAAAATCAACAAGACCAGTAAGTGATTCTATTTTCTGTTCTAAATTACACCATAATGATTTATCCGACTCAATTCAAAGACAAGATGTTGACGGAAATGATCGAACATTTTTAGGACAGAAAAATCAAGGTAATGATGATCCTATTAATAATAAGAATACTGAAAACCACTCATCATTAAATCAAATCGAGTGGACATTTAACAAACATTATCAAAGTCAGGATGAATCAAATCTTAATGAAACCTGTAACAATAATACCTATAGTTCAGATCATACTTTGCACAAAAATAACGAATTAATTTCCTTGTTCAGTCACATCAATAAGATGAGACATGACCATAATAATAATAATGATAATAATACAGCCGATCTTACTTCTACAGCTGCTAGTAATACGACTGATAATTTTACTGAAACATTGATCAAAAAATGGTCTACAAGTAATGCACAATTAAATTTAGTCACTAAATCACTTTATGATACCTCGAATACACATGATGCGAATGATAATTATAAAAATGGTAGTTTTAATACAAAAAAGTTTGACAAAAATTTGAAAAACATGAAAATATTCACAACTGAAAATCATAATAATGATCTATCTAAGAAACATTTAGATACTAACCAAATATTACAATCACAAATACACTGGTATAATTCGAATATTATTAAACGTTATTTCGAAGGTCATGGTAAGTTGATAATTACTGTGCATAAGATTTCTAATTTAACTTTATTCTGATAAGACATCATGAAGTAAATCGATGAAATATTGGAAAGAATAATCAAAGCAGTTTATTTAGTAGGTTTATGTCGCATTTTGAATTACACCGAAAAAGGAACATAAATAGTAGTAAACTATAAGTTTGTCGTTCTTTAGAATTATTCAATAAATTAAAACAGTAAGTTCAGTAAATGAGTAAAAGTACCCTATCGATGACAAAAATCGATAATTAAGTATTAGTACATTTGTAATATGGAAGTGATTAACAACTGCATTTCGATATATTTAACATGAAACCCCGGTGAAATAAAGATGATCAACATTATTTCAAACCAACATATATTTACAGTTGTCAATTTTAAATTATTTAAGGATGAATTTTATATTTTTTCATATAGAAACGGAGAATCCAAATATGACTGTGTGACTTTTTTTCTCTTGTCTCTTTAAATACTTAACATTATATGAAATAAATGGAAGCTTTTAAAATTTCTTAACTTATTACAACTAAGTACAACAGTACAAATACTGCCAGTTCATCTATATGTTGTCAGATGTCCAATTAGAAGAGATTACTTACCAGAAAACATGGAAAACGGTTACGTAATATCACAGACCGATTTAAATTAAATAAGTTATTCAGTAAATACATGATCAGTAGTCTAAATGTGAACCCTCTACTGCGAGACCTGAAAGTCCCGGGTTCTATTCCCAGTTAGATTGTGGATGTACCCTATTGAGTTGTTCCATATCAGGACAAAATAGCTATCCAATGCTTCCTATTCTTCATTTGTTCTTTAGCTAAAACCAGCTTATGATGTCAACTATTATATTCTTTGATAATTTTTTATTTTTGTCAACCAATAAATTATACGCTTGGTATAAAATCAAGTGTAAAAATCACAAAATTATATGAAATTTTTTATTTTAAAGTACGTAGAAGTACTATAAATTTGTTTATATCTGTGTGTGTTTCGTTTTGTAAAATGATTTCTATTCAAAAGTAGTTGGTAAATTCTTTCTTATTGAATTATCAATGTAATTTTTCTATCTTATACTAAATGTACTCAAAAGATTTGAATAACTAATTTTCAGTTTTGTGAATTAAACAATCATAATGAGTTGCCTTGAATAAAATGAATTCATCATTTTATTTTGTTATTATCAATCAGCTAATAAATACAAGAAGCTGAGCCACTCGGATCATTGCTTAATTTGTTGAATCTGGTTGGCGTTTTTTTTTAGCAGGATTGTGTTTCTACGGAATGGGGTTGCTGACCCCACGCCTAACCTTCCTCCTTTACCTGGGCTTGAGACCGGCAGTAACTTTAGAAGAGATACAAATGGAGTTACTCAGATCAGTAGTCACATTTAATTTGTTCAGTAGAATGCAAGCATTATATTGATATCTAATTAGAGATCAATTAATGTATGTACCAATTAATTAAGACTGTATCATATCACATGGTAATGATTATGGTCGATAAAAATCATTAGGAGGATGTTGGGATAATTGTTGTATTTCATTAGCTTTTCAATTATTCAACTGTATCATTTTTCTACATCCAACGCTTATTCAAAGAATAGGTGAAAAAAATTGTAGTAAGAGGAATGCAAGATGAATTTGTTTCAAACTACGAAAATTCTTTTGCAATTGGCTAAATCAGTTGAACAGTCTCTGAAAATATCAGTAGTCTAAAGATAATGTCTTTTATTCAAATAAAGATCTAACTGTAGAACTTGGTTGATTTTGAAATCCTTGAAATTTCACCGAACTCTGAAATTAATTGAATTTGTTTTCTTGAGAAGACACAAGTAATGACAAAAAATATTCACAACTTATTAAATCAATGATTTCTGATAATCACATTGAAAAGGATTTGAATACACAGAATTCACTGCTGTCTACCTTCTTCTGAATCCAATAAAAACAGAAGTTAGTGACAAGTGAATAACGACCAGATGCATAATAGCGTATAATATCTAAGCTGATTAGTTATTATATGTGTTCTACAATATGTTGAAATATAATTTGACCTATATGTTTGACTGAGTCCATTCAACTAGTGATGTATCCAATAAAAAACTAAGGTGTTCAACATTACTGTTGAATATTTACACAGCTATCTACTTTTGGAGGAATTATCTACTGTTACAATGTCATTAACATCTAATAAACAGAAAAATATTAAATGTTCAATATACTGACTTGATATAACGAAGGTATTTTGTTTATATAATGTTCTTTAAAACATTTCAACTGGTAAATCATTAGACATCATAGAGAAATTGACAGTTATTGGATCCTAATTTAACAGTGTTAAGAAGAAGAAATTGTAGAATATTCAATCAAACTCAAGATTTCAATATAAATTTGATAGTTTTATGTATAGTTTATTTGTGTATAAACTCAAATAGTTACTTTTTAATACTCAAAATATGTTAGTCGCACAATTGTAACTTATAGACTTCACATTATGCTATTTAAATAAGAAAAAAGAACAAATTATGTGTTGAAGCCTTATTCAAATTAGTATTTTAATTGTATTGTATTCATTTAATTACATGTCTTATTTATAGAAAACAATTTCAATACCTACTGAATGTTGATGACCATAGAAGTGTTACAATTCGACCATTTAGGATATAAAAATATAAAAATTACCAAAAATTTCCATCTATACTAAAAATTTTCTTTTTCATCTCAAACTAATATAATAATATAATATGCTAATTGTTTATAATTATTATCAGAAGGGGTTTTGTGGGGATTTAGTATTTTCATAGTTGACTTCGGGAGGTAAATCCAGGAGTTCTAGTGAGAAACAGTGACCAGTGGAGTTCAAACCACGTCTGTTGTGAGATAGGAACTCACTGAAGACAACTGGTGAATGGTTGCTCAATTTCGTGGATCAGTTGAAGTTAGACATTAACACCACCGGATGCCGACTCAGTGGTCTATCGGTTAAGTGCTCTGGCTCGAGACTGGTAGGTCTTGGGTTCGAATCTCGCTCGCGATGCGGGATTGTGGATGCGCACTGCTGAGGATTCCCGTAATAGGACGTAACGGCCGTCCAGTGCTTCCAGGTTTTCGATGGTGGTCTAGCTTCAATTGACTCACGCTTTCAATTGTTTATAACATTTTATTTATTTATTTATTTGAACACATAAATATTGGTACAAGGAAGCACCAGATACATATGCGCCATACAAATCTCATGCGATTTGTGTGAGGGCTGTGATACTGCACAGGTGCCCAAACTGAAGCAGGTGGTTTTCTTAGGGGCCCACACCCGGAGCCGTTGACCGAAAGATCTGATCCACAAGGCAGTGGAGCATCGTGAGGAGATGCGGTCCCATGGTAGCCGGTGACCAACGATTGATTCATACGCCATTTGTTCCCTCAGGATACTGGAGCCCATGTGCACCATTGGTTTGAAATCAGGGTTTTCCAACTCCCCTAGGTAGACTAGCCCTGTCCACCAACCCGGTTAAAGCGCCGGACATTCGCTTTTCATCCTCTGAATTTCGTAAACAACACCCCCGCCAAGAGAAGGCAGTGAGCAGGACTTCCCTGGCAGAGGCTATATATTCGCTGGCCGTGTGAGAGCATTTGGAGAGGGAGAGCGGACTCTTCCCACTCTCGGCCGTACCAGGGCATTCGGGGGCTGTTTATAACATAACACAAACTACTAGTACAGAGTGTTTTAACTTGGTTGTCTTTTCTATTTTGAAACCGAAAATTAATTTTTAATAGTTGAGACCATGAATCGATTGATGCTAGATTCATGACCTCAACTAATAAAAATTACTATAGTATCCACAAAACCCCTTCTGATACAAAAATTAATTGTTTTAAATTTGCTTTAAAAACTCATCAGGCAATATTTTGTTAACATTTAGATTATTCTTGTTAATTAGCTTAATGAGTATGAAGTAAAATATATATCATAAACTGTCATCATTTGAATAACTAATCAAAGTTTAACTGCCTTAATAGACATTTTTGTTTAGGTTTGTTGCTGAGGTGTACCATACTATGAACAAATAGTTCTTCTGGTGCTTTCTAGTTTTAAAATGCATGTGTAACATAAGTCAATGCATGAAGTCAATAACACAGGGAATAATCTCTACAAACATCTTTATTGATAAATATTATTCATCAACTTCTACTTTCAACATTTTTTTCAATGTAATATTCGATAAAATTCATAGATGAATATAATTCTATTTTAAAATAATTTGTTAATACATGTCACTAACACTTTCTCACCCCCCCCACCTCTGCACACACACACACATTCAGGATCAGTAATTATTTATAGATTCACACTTGACCCGAATAATTTTACAGTTAATAATTTTTTTTTCTTTTATCACTAAGTTATTAACATAAATAAATTATCAGACAAAATTAAAATGAATTGAAGTATACATAAATAAACATTACGCAATAAAATATACAATATAAAATTGACTACCACAGAATAATAATTAAATGTTTAAATAAGGTCATCAAAGGAAGTACAAAAATCTTGTTTTAGAAAAAAAAAGCGTTCTATTTTAGTTCATTTTTATTTTTTAAACTTTAATTTTACATCAATCAGTCAATCAATTATTCATGAATACCTTTGTGTCCTTAATAATCTTTCTCACAATGTTTTTTTTCTCAGATTTCACTTTTTTTCTTTTTTTTCATTTCTCTCTTTGTACTCATCCATAGTAGAAGAAACGGTGAAAACAATAATTAATTAAAAATATATTAAAACATTGAATTTTGTTTAAAAGCGAAGAAAGTGTTCATTTCACTTTGACAATATATAGATACATATATGCTTTTATATACCCCTGTGTATGTGTGTTTATATGTAATTGTGTAAGTGTACATGTATTTGTGCTTTCATACATACAAATATGCTAAGTTACCTTTTATTGCTTAATCAACAAATCATAGTTAATTACATGCAT